GGGTGGCGGGTGTAGTGTTGCGGGTAGTGTGGTTTGACTGGAGTGGGGAGTAGTGCCAGGTAGGGTTTCGGAGCTGGGCATGGGTACGGGATTAGTGGGTAGGTGTGTGGGGAGGGTTGTTTGACCAGGGTTGGGTGTAGAAGAAGGGATATTTTCGGGTAGGGTATCCAGGGTGGGTATGGGTACGGGGTTAGGGTGTGGGGTAGACAACGGGTCTACATGAGCAGAGACTGGAGACACCTGGAAATTGGGAAAGAGAGGTAAGACTCCGAAATAAGAGGGTCCAGACGGGGGACGAGATTGTAGACCAGAATTAGAGTACGGGAACTCGGACTCATTGAACTGGACATGACGAGAGATGTACACCCGACGAGTTGAGGGGTCATAGCAACGATACCCTTTGGAGAGGGACTCATACCCAAGAAATATACACCGTTTGGAACGGGGTTGAAGTTTGTGATCTATTTCATGCCGAAGATGTGGATAAGCAAGGCAGCCAAAAACACGAAGGTGAGAGTAGTCGGGTGGGTGTCCGTAGAGAAGCTCGTATGGGGATTTGTTACGGAGGGAACGCTTGGGCATGCGATTAATAAGATAGTTTGCAGTGGCAAGAGCCTCTACCCAAAAGGTCGTGGGAAGGGAAGAGGTGTAAAGAAGCGTGACAAGAGTCTCAATGAGATGTCAATGTTTGCGTTCAGCAACCCCATTTTGTTCAGGAGTATATGGACATGACTTTTGGTGGAGAATTCCTAAGCTTTGTAAAAAGAGACCAAATTTCTGGTTGCAATATTCACGACCATTATCAGTTCGAATGAGTTTGAGTGGCTGACCAAACTGAGTTTTTATCATGGATTGAAAACTTTGAAAAGCATTAAAGGCATCAGATTTATGTTTAAGTGGATAAATCCAACAATATTTAGTAAAATCATCCACAGAATTGATATAAAAATGATAGCCACCAAATGAAGAGACAGAAGTAGGACCCCAAACATCAGAATGTATTAATTGAAAAGGAGCAGTAGTAACATAAGTGGATAATGGAAAAGATAATTTATGAGACTTTGACATACAACATGAATCACAATGAAAGGCACTTGGCACTACAGTAAAACCTAACTGAGAGAGTAAAGATTTTGTAACTTCAAGAGATGGATGACCAAGCCGACAGTGCCACTGATGAGTTGTGGTCTTCAAAGCACGAGTCATCAGCGGAGCTGCAGCATACGCGGTGGACGAAGATGAAGAAGTGGCGGGTAAGGTGTACAGTCCCTGCTCACATGGGCCTTTGTATGTCACTTGGTTGGTATGGTTGTCCAGGATCATAAATTCCTTGGAATTAAAAATAAGAGAGCAGTTATTTTCTTTGGTAAATTTATGGACAGATAAGAGGTGGGTTTTTAAATGGGGAACATGAAGGAGGTTTGATATGGTAAAAGTACTTGTGGGAGTGGACACCTGACCTGAGCCAACATGTGAAATCGGAAGAGATTGTCCCCCAGCAGTGAGAATAGAATTTTGACCGTGATAAGGAATAGGGTTTTGGAGTCTTGATAAATCAGACGTAACATGAGTACTTGCACCTGAGTCTAAGTGCCAATACTGATTAGAGTCTGTAGGGGATACAGTGTACAAGGCTTGATTGTTCGTTCGTTGAGAAGGGCCATTGACATCTTCATTATAACGATCCCAACACTGCCACGCTCCATGATTAGACCTGCCACAAATTTGACAAATAAGTAAAGGATTCCGCTGACCACTGCTGCGACCTCGGCCAATGTTACAGTCAGAAGAGGTTCGGCCCCCATTACCACTGATGCGTCCTCCCCGGAAACTGGGCAGTCGTCCTCGCCCACGCCCACGTGATCCTCCTCCACGATTATGAGTATAGAGAGCGGTATGAACATCTGTGTTGGACGTGGAGGGGGTACCAATCTGTAGTTTGTGTTCTAGTTGAACATTGAGCTCTTCAGAAAGAAGCCATGACGAGACCTTGTTGAACGTGAGATCAGTAATGTTTGTTCGAACATTTTGTTTGAGGGATGCATATTCCGAGGGAAGACCATGTAGGACATTGAGAATAAGATCTTGTTCGGGGACAGGCTCTCGTGCTAGAGAAAGTGCAGTGACAATTTTGAGAGCCTCGTCAAGATATGCTTGCATAGACAATTCTCCCTTACGTAAATTGTGAAGTTGCTCTTTGAGTTGGAAGATATGCGTGCGAGAAAGAGAATTATACCGTTGATGAAGGTGATCCCAGATGGCAGCAGCAGTAGGGCATAGATGAACAAGATTCTGAACTGAGGAAGATAGTGTGGCAAGAAGAGCAGCACGGAGTTGAGCGTCAAGAATAGTCCACTGCTCATAAGCCGGATTCGGTTTGAGAACCGGAACTCCATCGGCAGCCGCTGGAGCCTTTTCGTCGACAATTGTGGGAGGCGGTGGCTGCGCAGTACCATCAACAAATTCCAACAACCGATGAGCAACAAGCGTGGCCCGGACTGTGGACGACTAGGCAGGATAATTGTGATCCTCCAATTTGGTAGGAATCAAGGCATGAAGATTGCGAAGAAAGAGTTTTAGGCCCCCAGGTAAGGTATCAAACGGATCATGGGTACCTTTTGCCATGATGAAGAATCAAGAGGAAGAAGAAAAAATTGATGGGAAGGGAGCGGCGATGAAGCCAACGAGATTTTAGGGTTTTTGGAACCTACGCTCTGATACCATATTGACACAACTGAATAATTGTATTTCACACCTTACAATAGGGTACATGGTAATGTATATATAGAGAGACAATACAAATACAACTAGGAATAGGACTACTATCTAACAAACTGATTATTTACTTTTTTTTTTTGAGATATTAAAAAACAAACGAACAATGTAGATAGTAAGTTTCTACAATTTTGTCTTACAAAAACCAATTTTTATGAAATTTTTCTATTCTATAAAAATTAAAAGGACAAATTATATTAGGCAGATAATATATCTAGCTAGGAGAGCATCAAATCTAAACATACATAAGACCTATATACTAGCTAGTTTAACTGACCAGCTAGCTTGAATTTCTTTCCATGAATGGTTTACATCAAATCACCCATCTCAATCCTTAATCATATTTTATTCTTAAAAAAATGAACCCTCTAGTCACGCTTTTTTCACAAGTACGATTCGTGTGAAATAAGCCTGATTCGACGGTTCAGATTCTGGTAGATATTGTTCATAGAGACACCATATACAAATGAATAAAACCCTAGTTTTTTGAAGGATTGATTCGAGCCCGCGTGATGCGGGTCTCCCGGCGCGGCTCAGTTTTTAAGCGGTAGAAACTCGAAAAACTGGTAATGGTTGCGAGTGTTTCGAGAACCGGCGGTGTTCCCGGCGGCCGGCGGGGTTTTGCCGCCGTTTCCACATTCGTCTCCGCGGCCGAGAGGGAAGAGCTGAAGGGTTTGGGACCCACATTCGGCGTCGTAATAGTTTGGCGGGCCCACGGAGAAGCCGAAATTAGGGTGGTGCGGGGGCGGGAGGAGGAACGGTGTGGCTGTGCCGGTGGACGAAGAGGAGGTCGGGTGGTCGATGGCGGCGACGGTGAGGTGGCGTTGGCGGGACGGCGGCGACGATATTTGGTTGCTCCACGTGGCACTCTTCTCTCTCGAGCTCCTTTTTTGTTGCATTATTTCATCAGCCTCATCTTTGTTTTCATTTGTTCCCATTTGTACGGACTTGCTTTTCTGATCATCACAAAGTAAACACACAATTGCCCAAAACATTTCAATATTCATCAAAAACACCCTACCAAAATATTCGTCCCAAAAAAAGATTACGTTTCATTTTCTGTGCATCCCATAAAACACTTCTATATCGTCTCAAATGCCAAAAAAATATTCAAAACGACTTCTACTCACAATAAAGGATAAATGTGGTAATATTTAGGCATTTTAAATGTGAGTTGAACTGTTCTTTGGGACGGAGAGTATTAAAAATTTAGTTGTAATTAATTTTTAGAACCCTAGAAAAGATGGTTTAATTATTTAGCTTAAAGTGGGTATGGGAAAAAAAGAGGGCTTTTAAGTTCCAAGGTAGATCATGTCTTGATTTGGGACAGCAGATACTTTCTGGTACATAGGAAAGTCAAAATTTGAATGAATAATCTATCAATGTCTTTTCCCCTATGTATACAAAAAGTACTAAAAAGATAACTGCAAATCAACCGGCATGCATATATGGGTGCCCATCTCACTTGTCCTAAGTGTAATTCAATACTCCACTACAAAGACTCATTATTTTGTACTTGGTCCGTCCCTGAGTATTTGTCCACTTTTGACTTTTGGAATTGTTCATCTAAGCACTTTGATTTATCAAATTCTCTCAATGTGTAAGCCTAAAAATAGTCATGTGTGATCTTGTTTGATTCGTCTTAACATATAGATTATTAATATATAATTTTTATAATTTTTTAATTTACAAATTAAAAGATAAAATGGATTAAAGAAGTGCATTGGATGGTGTGCAAAAATGAAAGTGGACAAACACTCAGGGACGGAGGGAGTACTCCGTAATATATAGGAGAGCCTATAGCCCTAGCCTTTTAGGGACACATATATACCCCTCTCTTCATGTTTATGTGCCTATAAAAAACTACTCCTTCCGTCTCTAAATATTTGCCACACTTATATTTACGAGGTAAAATATCAAGTTTTTTCAATTCATTTTATTTATATATTGGTATAGAAATAAAAAATAAAATTTACATATCAAAAAACTACATGAAAAGTTCTTTGAAATAAGAGGTATCAAGAATATTTTATTTTATCAAATAACCAATGAAAACGTAGAAATAAACAAAAGTTCCCGCGACTGCTGAAAAAGCAAATGTTGTAAATATTTTGGGACGGATGGAGTAAATCTTATGCCCTCCGACCCGAAAAATATTTCCAGTTTTGATTTTTGGAAGGGGAGATATAGAAATTTGACCTATACAAAATAACAAAAATTTAAACAAATTAGGCTTGAGAAAAGTCAAAACTTAAGCTCAATCCTTCTATAGGTTACGACCTGATCGTCTTTTATCGTTACTAATTATAACCCTTTTTTGTAATCTAAGCTACGTCCCATTCATATTTTGAGTCTGGATTAAGAAAATTACGTGCATTTGGGATGGGAAACATTATAATAAAAGCTTTTACTTTTTCCGTCTTACTAATTTTTTCTAAGTTTGACTCAACACGACAACGGAGGCTGGTGACGTCATAAATGACAGTTATTGACTAATAATGTTTCTTGAAAAAAGTTTCGAGGTAACATAGTGTAAGAAGTTAAGAAAAATGAGAAAAATTGTTAATTTGAAGTTGTTAACAAACAAGAAAACAAATTAAATCTTCTTAACATTCTTTTAATGTACAAGAATTGAATAATGTATGTTTACCTAAATCTCCTTCTTATTTATGACTTTTATGTGTAGGTATATATGTGCATGTATATGAAGTTATGAGTGTATGTATATGTGTGTATATATGTATATGAGATTATGTATAATGTATGTATGCATGTTATGTATGTACATAGATAGGGAGTAGCATCCATGCATAGCATGCAGCAGCACCGACAGAAAGGAGGAAAATCAGCTTTTGGAACATTACTCCCTATTACATTTTCCAACAAATTATATCAACCTTTTTCTTTTTCTAAAAAAAAACATTTGTCTTACCACTTTTTAATAAATCATGTGCTTATTATTATTATTATTATTATTATTATTATTATTATTATTATTATTATTATTATTATTATTATAATAATTTCCTTCATTAAAGAGTTTTTTTGCTTGTATTCCAAAATGAAAGTTCACTATTACGGTTTATCCATAACTTTTTCTCCAAATGAAAATACAGAGTAGATGTTTTTATTACTATTGAAGCTCTCAACAATTTTTATTTATGTATGTATATGTTCATTGATCCTCTGATAAAAAGATATTATTATCACTTCTAGTTTTGTAAATTTTTTTATTATGTACTCCATTCGTTCTAAATTAGAGTTCCTAGTTTGACTAAGTGTAAAAATAAAGAAGTGTTAAATTGTAGTTGACTTCCAATTTTGCCTTTGATGTGATTGGTAAAAGTAAGATGTAATGGACAAATTATTAGAGAAAAAACATGAAGTGATAGATAGGGTATGAAAAAAGTAAGAGTAAAAGTAGTTTTTAATAGAAAGTGGAAGTGTTTAATTGGAAGTGAAAAAAATGAAAGATGAAGTATTTTTGAGAATGGATGGAGTATATGATTTTGAACAGTGTAATTTATAGTTTTTGTTTCTATACTAATTTGTAATTGAAATAATTTTAAGAGTGATTGAATTTATAAAAGAGATTAGATTTATATACCAATTTGTAATTAAAATGATTTTAAAAGTCATCTACTTTTATAATTGATTTTAAAAGTAATTACTCCTAAGCTATCGCACAATAAAATTAATACGAGCACCTTCCATCCTTACATAATCATTTTTATTTCGAGAAATATGTAAAATTTCATTTTTAAAAAATTTAATTTATATAAAATTGATATAGAAATGAAATGTATAATCAATGAGAGTACTAAATGAGAGTTTTTTTCGCTTGCCTTAAAACGAATTCAACAATTTTCTTATTTATTTAATCTTTTAAATGTGTGGATTAGAATATTTCTCCAGACTTCAAGAAGATTTTTCTCAGTCGAATATTTCTTTTAAATTTTGTAAAGTCAAAGCCCTAAAATTGATAAAGCGTAACGTATAGATCGAGTAGTTGTCTACCCTTCCAAAACGACAACATTTTTGCACATTCCGACGTTAATTAAGTTTATTCCGCACATTAAACATAATTATGAAATTTTTTTTATTTCTCTTTTCAAATGTCCCGAGAAACTCTTTTCATTTTTATTAAAAAGTCACTCTTACCCATACTAATTCTTGACCTACCTATCACATTATATCTATTCATTATTAATATACCCATAAAATCTTACTTTACCCATCAATCCAAAGACATTTTTTAGAAATTCAACGCAAAAATATACTCCTTTCAAATCTCTTAAAAATCAAGACATCTCGTGTTTTCCAGAGGGAGTATAACATTTAAGACTAAAGACAAATCATACATTTATTAAGTGATGACTTCAACATAATAATCTTTTTTTTATGAAAAATATGAAAAAGTTTTTTCCCAAAAAAATTAAAACCAAAAGTATATATACTCCGACTATTTATTTAAAAAAAAGAGTAAAAATAAAGTATGGACCTCTGCATTAAGTGATGTATGGGTTGATGACAGATTTATGGTCTGTTGTTCATCCACTTCACACCCTCTCTTATTTGCCCCTGTGATTTATTTTATAAATTTTCATGAGAAAATTCATTAATTTTAATTGGTACACATAATAATAATTTAGCAAAAAGAAAAAAAAATTGTTTTATCAAAAAAAATAAGAAATAAAATAGATAGACAGTCACATAAGTAAAAAAGGTTACCAGAGTCTTTTCCTTCTGAATTATTGTCCCCGTTGTTAGCTAGCGACGACTTGTCACTATCGGCGGCGGGGCCGCCGGTGGCGGCGGCCTCCGCGGCTTCGAGCTGCCGGCGGCGTTTCTGGCGTTCCCGCGCTTTGTGATTCTGGAACCAGTAGAACACGTTCTTCCCTTCTATCTTCCCGTGCTTCCGGAGCTGCGCCGTGATTTGCTGGATTTGGTCGGCGGACGGCGTCCGCGTCCCCCGCCGGTAAAGCTCCTCCAGCATCTGGAGCTGCTCCGGCGTCGGATTCCACCTCGAGCTCACCACCACTTGGTTCCCGGCGAACTCCCTCTTGTTTTGCTCCGCCACCGCTGCAAATTAAAACCCCACAAAAAAACCAAATAATTCATATTCCCTTCCCTCTCCTATTTTTCTCCTCATTTGACTTTTTTCAATTTATCATTTTGACCTCTTCAACAAAAAATTCAAATGTGTGGTTATAAGCTCGAAAATATTTTTTATGAAAATTATTTTTTTACTAGTGACGGAAATATTCGAACTTGTAACCTTTAAGTCAAAAAGTTTATCGTTTTAATTCACACTTATATGAAAAATATCCGTTTAAATTTATAAAAAAATATTCTTAATTAAATAAGACTAAAACATAGGAGTATATTTTTATACTCTAAATAAGAGTAAATATAAAAAAAAATTGTACCGGCGAGGTGGCGATTGAGGGCAATGTAATCGTGGCCACGGAGATGGGGGAGAGAGGCGGCGGGGGAGGAGGAGAGGGGGCGGGGAACGAGAGGGCGGAGGCGGCGGCCGGCGAAGGAGTCGGCCGGGAAGGGGAAATCCCCACTGTCATTGTAACCCATCATCCACATTTTTTATTGTTTGATTTGTCTTTTCTCTCTGTTTGGTTTGGTTGGAGAAAGTGAGGGGTTTAGGGTTTGATAGTGAGAGGGAAAGATTTGGGGGGAGTTGAAATGGTCACTTTGGTACTGAACACAATGTGTGTGTTATGTGTTTTTGGGATTTGGGAGTATATATATATATATGGGTTCAAGTATGGTACGGGCCGACCAGGGCCTAATAAAGGTTAAAATAGTAAAATCAAAGAAATAAAAATTAAAATACCTCAATTGTTTCGTCACGGCCTTCTATGTGAACGTTTCCTTAATTATTCACACTGTCAAATTTTATGTGTTCTATCTATTTTCTTATATTTTCATTATTTATTTTGTCAAAAGATCAACTCAACTAAAAATCCAAACTTATACTTACGACCTAGAAAATATTTTAATATTCTAAAATGTCCTCTCACGCGCGGACAAGATTTGTTTTTTTCTTGAGCCTTGCACGTGAACATTAATTTCTTAAAACTATGTAGCGTTGAATTTCGAACTCGCGACCTATCAGTTAAGAAGATGTCAAAAGACCAACTCAATATTGCAGTTGTGGCACATGAAAAAACACATTTCATACTTGTACTTGGGTATTATTTTGTACACTGTATAATATCGTCAAGTAATTTTTCATTTATGAAACTGTTTTTATGTTTTTGTGCGATATGCTTTTTAATTAAATTGTAATCAAATTTTATAAAATTTGACAATAAAAGTGAAACTAGATGAATATGTTGAAACTTAGAGAAGTAAATAAAGTGAATTAGGAATTTATTTGAGGGGGAAAAAGGGAAAGCCAAAAAAGGAAGGGGTTGTAAAGATGAGAATTCAATGATCGGAAAAGGGCAAAGAGAAAGAGAGAAATAAGGAGAGACAGATCAGAGGAGACAAACTTTATATTCATGAGAACACAACAATTTGTTTGTTTTAATTCCTGTTTATTATATTCAATAAAAAAACATCTTTCGTTTTTTGTTTTTTTTGTCTATTAAGAACATGTACTTTAGGACGGGAAAAAGAGCTAAATGTTAGAAGAAACTGGAAAGAACTGGAAGAATTGGAAGAAACTCGAAAAAATGGAAGAAACTTAAAGGAACTGAAAAGAACTAAAAAAATTAGATGAAACCGAAAAAACTGAAAAAAATTGGAATACATAAAAAAAAACTTTAAAAAAATTATTTTACTGTATTGTTTTCCTTTTCCCTCTTTATTTTCTTTTTTCTGTGTAACTATTTTATCCATAATTTTTTAATGTAGTTTAAAATATTGATGTTTTCCTAATTATCATGTAGAATGATATACAAAAAAATTGTATTATTCATATTAAAAAGTTACAGAAAAATAATAATGAGTGTGATTCGTAAAAATAGTGAGATAAAAAAATTAAATAATTTATAAACTATAGTTATGAACATAATAGCTGTAATAATAGTAATCATAATAATTATATTATTGGTTTTAGAAGAGTTGGTAGCGCCTGAGGTCCTACAAGTGGTATCAGAGCCAAGGTCACGAGTTCGATTCCCAGCGGGAGCAATTGCTGAGGGGGAGATTGTTGGCCATGTGTGCAGCAATTGTCCCGTGGCGGAGGCTATGTGGGCCAAGTCACAATCGAATGTCGTGGGCGCTTGTGTGTTGAATGCACTATAAGGCTAGAGTATGCGCCTCTTCTAACACCAATTGGTTTTAGAAGAGTTGGTAGCGCCTGAGGTCCTACAAGACCAATGATACGGACTACGTATCGGGATAGGGAAGACTCAGAGCGTCTTCGAGCTCTTGAGAATATGGGACGAGGAAGAAGAAGAAGAATTGAGGNTTAATAATAATAATAATAATAATAATAATAATAACAATAATAATAATAGTAATAGTAATAAATATCCTACTCTACTATCTATAACAAATATATCGTTTTTAGAGTAATTGATTGAAAAGTAGAAAGAGTTTGAAGAAAATGAGAATAGTTGGAAGTAATTGGAAGAAACTGAAACAAACTGAAAGAACTTGTAAAAACTGGAAGTAACTAGAAGAAATTGAAAGAAAATTGAAGAAAATGGAAGTTAAAAGTTTAAACTCCAAAGAACAGACTCTTAAGAGCAGCTTATCTTGGTTGGGCTGCTTTGTTTAAAGTTATAGCTTGATTTGGAAAGTGATTTAATTATTATATACTTCTTCCGTCTCAAATTAATAACTTGTTTAGATATAGTAATTGTTGTAGATTATGGCAAATCCAAGAAGCTTGCAAGGGGTTAAGGGTTTAGAAGGTTACATAAAAATCACTTCGTAGTCGAATGAAATACGGAGTATATAACTACGATGCGCAAACTGATAATATGATTTTAAACATTCTTTATGGTTGTTAGGAGTCGAATTCTAGTTCATTCCTTGTGTAGTATTAGGACACCTTGATATAAAACAATACTCTCTGTCTTAAAATTATTTTCCTATGTAGTTTTCAGAGTAAGACTTTGCCTACTTTGTTAACCTATTTTCTTTACTTATTAAAAAAATTACATGTAATTTGTATATATAATCATGTCACGTCTAGCTTTGTAGATATTTTGATGTACTTTTTATACTTTTTTGTCCCAAGAAGAGTGCCACAGTTATTATTTCGGACTCTTGATAACTTTTGTTTGTTTACCCATTTTTGCTGACTATTTGATAAAATAAGATATTTTAATTACATGTAGAACTATTGATTTAGTTTTGAACGATGTAATTTTTATTTTTTATTTATTTACCGACTTGTAAATAAGATAATTTTAAAATAGGTGATATTTTGCACATTCTTCAAAATGTTGCAAACAATTTGACGGAGGGGACATAAAAATTTTATTTTTAATGTACATACCAATTCTTCCATAACTCAAATGGGAAAAGAACTACTCCCTTAGGTTCTAAAAACATGAAAGTTATTGATTTTTAAAAGATTTAAAGGAAATATATTTTGGTATTGAATTTTCAAAAAAGTCCTTTGATGTGATGGGTAAAAGTAGGATTTGATGAGTAGATTATTAGTAAAAAAATATGATGTGATCGGTAGAGTATGAGAGAGTAAATGGTAAAAAGTAAGTTTTTAATAGAAATAAGAAGTATTTTTTTGAGACGGATGAAAAAAAAGAAAATGATTTTCAGGAACAGAGGGCGGATTGCTTTTGGTTCGATTGTAAGACAAGATTTCCATTTTATGTGAAAAGGACTACAATATAAAATTGCAACATGCAACCAGAAATTAATTTTAGAATAGATGAAATACTCCCTCCCTCCCAAATTATTTGCCACATTTGTATTCCCGAGGCAAAATATCAAATTTTTTCAATTCATTTTATTTACATATTGGTACAGAAATAAAAAATAAAATTTACATATAAAAAAACTACATGAAAAGTTCTTCGAAATAAGAGGTGTCAAGAATATTTTATTTTATCAAATAACCAATGAAAACGTCGAAATAAACAAAAGTTCCCGCGACTGCTGAAAAAACAAATGTTGTGAATATTTAGGTTCGGAGGGAGTATGAAAATGTATTTAGAAAGGAGAAAAGAAGAGGGTAGAAAGTGAATTAAGCATGGGGAGAAGTGAAGGAAAAACGACGTGACTATGATGAGCCTTATGTATCATATAGTCCTCATTTATTAAATTCATTTATTCATTTATTATTGTTATTGTTTCAACACTTCAATTTTTTCTGTTGTCTCGTGCCTTTCATACTTATTCTCAATCCCAAATGCCCCATTCTTCCACTCCCTTTTTATTATTTCTCCTCTTTTTGAAACATGCTCCCAATTAATTGTACATCTAGTAGGAAAATATAATACTCCTATTTGTGTGAATAAAATTTATTCAGAAACGAGATGAGAAAGAGTTGTTGATATGGATATGAAATGTTTGGGTTAAATCATAATAAAAAATTTATTCAATCAATTACACTTCAGCAAATCTTTCACAGAATTCTCATTTTTTGACATGGAATTTGTCCGTGGCAGATGCGTCCGAGTCTTGTAGTGAGTATTCAAAAATAAGAACAATATCTAGTGGCAATGAATAATTACTTTGAATAATGTTCAGTGGCGGTAAACATTTGTTTGAACAATGTCCAGTGGACATTGAACAATAGTACTACACTGAAAGATGAAAACATTTATGCTACATTGGGAAGTAACTATGTTTTAATACTATATGCGTAAACTTCCCCAATTAATATGATGAGTAACATGAATACGAAGTAATATTGATATACTCCCTCTGTCCCATAAAGATAGAGATAATTTGACTAAAGTGATAAAATAAGAAGGGATAATTTTGTATTGACATTCCAAAAATACCCTTGATGTGATGAGTAAATGTAAGATGTGACGTGCAGATTATTAGAAAAAATGTATTGTATGAAAAAGTAAGGGGTAAAAGTGATTTTTTAATAGAAATGAGAAGGACTTTTAGGGACACGCTTTTTTTAAATATATAAGCAACATTACGCTAAACGAAGTAATTTTTTGAATTTTTTCAATCCATTTTATTTAAAGAATGGTCTACAAAATAAAAAATAAAACTTACATATTTAAAAACTATGTCCAAAGTTCTACAAAACAAGTGGTGTTAAGAATATTTTATTCTATCAAATAATCAATGAAAATGCCAAAATAAATAAAAGTTCCCGTGATTTTAAATAGTGGAGTATTGCTTATATTTTGGGACGGAGGGAGTAAGAGACAAGATAATGAGAGGACATATATATATATATATATATATATATATATATATATATTAGTTCTAGTGAGAATGCGATCTTATGAAAGAAATAAGAATGAATCTGGTGCAT